GAGGCCTAACCGGCGCAAGGTGGCTCAGGATTTATAGGAACCTGAGTCCAGGGGGAGAGAGGGTCAGAGGCCGAACGCAACGAGTGGCTTTTCATGGCGTAGCGGAGGTCCAATCGATCCTGTTTTAAAGCAGAAGGGAGCCCCTCGACTCGCTTGTGTGGAAGGAAGGAGATATATTCTCATTCGGGACGAATGAGTCTTAAGGAGGGGGTAATGTTACGGTTATTCTTTTCTTTTTCTTTTCCTTTTCTTTTCTTACGTATTCACGCTTACTCTATGCTGCGATTTCGATCGGACGTTACTGCGGCACTATCTTTAGCCTACGTAACGTGTATTTAAGTAGAGCCTCAGCTGGTCTAAACCCCAGCTTCGGCTAAGGTTTAATCTACCTAATTCAAAGCTCCCTGTTTCGTGACTATCTGTCCCGTTGACTTGCGTCGCCTTTGACTTGCTGAGTGTTGCCTACCGAAGTGCGAGTAGCGACCTTAGTACGATCTAAGTCGATTAGAGTTAGTGGCTAACAAGCTAAGATCTACGAGACGACACTTCGGCAACACAGGACGATCAATTAATGATGAAAGATAGAGGAATGATCTTCCATTGACCAGAGATTCCCATTCATCTGAAACCTTCATTCCTCGTAGTCTCCACCATCAGCAGCAGCAACAGCATTCGTTTGTTTCTTCAGTTGGCTACATGCTCCACCAAGATACGGTACTTGTGTAGATCAGCAGGCATACCTTGAGCGCTCTTATAATAGGAACCGGATGCAACCCTGCTAGAATGTGATAAATATAGCAGATGTTCTTGGCTAAGGAACCGCTGATGGGTTTTGCACAGCGTGGAGCTGAGGAATATCAGAGGCTGTGATGGACACCGGTTTGATCATCATGGAGAATTGCGTCTACAAAGCAGGTGCTGTTGTAATGAAGGTATCTGGTTCTGAAAAGATGGTTCTTTTTGCATTTAATCCTGCTGGCAGCATCCTCATCAGCAGAATATCAAGATTTTCCTATTACCATGCTGTTAAGTGGAAGGCATGAGGATACAAGTGCAGCATACATTTCAAATGCCTTATCTCAATCCAGAGGGACAAATCTTCTCAATAGTTGGTTTCATGGGTGTGAGAGAGACGGTCGCTGGCTAAAAATATCCTCATCAGCCTGTGGTCTTCTGATCAGAATGGATAACAGCCGATGCTTGCCTTATTCATTCACTGCATACAGCACAATCAGGCATTGCAGCTCATGAATATAACGAGGAAATGTACTGCCTCCATTTCGACATGTTATCACCACAACCTGATCCCTTTCCATCGGCAATTGATGTTGCGTCCCAGTACAAAACATTTTGCCGAAGGCGAACAAGTTCCAGAAGCGAGCATACGAGTAAGGGCCTTACAGGCCCTACTGTGTGAGCCATTCGGTAAAATACCAGTTGAGGAAGACTGTACTCACCTGCTACATTAGTTTTATGCAGTCATGTCCTTGATGTAGAGTTCCATTGTTTCACGGGTCAACGGCATTTCTCCGATAGTCTATGCGACTTGGTGGATGGCACCAATATGCCCAGCAGTCCTCGCATCTGTTCACATTATTCAGGAAAATTTGTTCTATGCATCACCAATATGGACTAATTATACCACAGAAGCCGTGTTTAGCTGGAATCTGGAAAGTCCTCGCACCATTACAAAACTACCTCAAACTGGAACTCTGTAACGGGCATCTTGGGTTTACTCTTGAGTGGTAAACTGTAGATGGCGGCCATAAAATAAGATAAACCACAGAATTTCACAGTGCAAGACTCATGCCAGTCAACAGCATATAACGGCCAGTTCAGTTTCATGGTCAAGATTGTTGGTCTGGTTGTTATACGTGTTGAGCCGGTATCCTCGAAACATGTACATCAAGTGAAAATAAATAAAACCAGAAATGCATTTCGTCTATCTCTAAGGAAATGTGAGCAAGAAAGCAAGCAGAAAGGAACAGACAATATGCCTAGTTCAAAGTGTCAGAGCAATGCTGGAGAAGCAAGCCAGGACTGGAAAGAAAGGGCTGACCAAGGCAAACAAGTTCAAATACATCAGATCGGATTACCGAATTCTTTTACTTTTAACCACCATCGCTGCACTTGCTGTCATGACCTTGCTGTGTTTTCTCCTTTCTTCTCACCCTCTATGCCTCTTGGATTTTTCTATGTTATACCTGTCTCTCTACTCTGTCTCATGGCAGCAGTCTAGGTCCAATCATCGGTAGCGACAATCTGCTGCATCGGCCCATAAGCCTGCGAGTCTCGGATGTTCATGAACATGACTTGTTTGACGATACTGCCTTTCCTTGTCTCTGATATTTCTCTATCCTGCCAAGTCAGACTTTCCCCTTTGTACAGTGCTGGTCACTAAAATTACAGGCATGTAAACAGTTCCACATATACACCATGATTACACGGCATATGGACAAACACATCAAAACTCAACATCCTCTCCAATGAATACCTGTATGCCCTCAATGATGCCAATCTTGAGCAGCACACATGCTGGCTCAGCTCGCAGACACTCCTCTGATGCGGACGAGTGAGGCGAGCTTCACTGGATTGCCTGTATCTGATATCAAATTGTTCCCAGGAAGCTGACACAGCTGGATACTTACCGTATCACAGAAGTCACGGTATTCACAGGAGTGAGGAGATCCAGAGTCTGAAGCGAGTATCACAGTGGCATTCGATGGGTAAGTGCCCATTGATTTGATGAACAACGGCTAACTTACTCATGTCACAGAGAATTACACCCCTGCATTCGGACTGACAAAGGCACAAAATCCACTCCATAGACATCGACCTCCACCCGGTCAACACAACAGGCGATGACATATTCCTACGCCTCGAGATATCTAAAACGCCGATCTATGGGAAGGCGTACCTACCTCAATGATATAATATCATTTCTCTAGCTGTTCTAATTCTCACTTGTTCATCGCTTCCCCACACTTCAAAATTCAAGTCATCCCAGCTGCATAAACCATGGCCTAAGTCCTTGGTCATAAGATATCTTCATTAACTGGATGCAGTGGATTATGATGAAGAGTTCGGGAGAATTGCCTTTGGCTCAGGATTCGGAGACATTACGATCATTCAGTTGTAGTCAGAATATGTGTGTCTTCCTGGTTTAGAAGTTCCATGCTATTTTGACTAAGGATATATTGGAGTTATTGGTACGAGCCATCGGAATCAACTGGCTCTGAACCTGTTACATACCGGTACTTTCCCTTCCTTTACCATTTACCACCATGTCGACGTACTAGATATAAATGAGTCACTCTTTTTGTTCCCTCCCATGCTCAAACTTCAACAGGATAGAACTTGAGAGCATCATGGAAGGTGTCTTCGTGATGTATGGAGCTGCCAGTAATAAGTATGGCTACTGTGAAAGTTCGAGGGAATGAGAAACCTTCAATCTCTATGCTCATCAGTTCTTGTAAGTATAAAATGCTAAAATACTTTACCAGCATCACTTTAAATGCAGATCCTACTCCAATGAGGGATACAACAATGGCAGGAGCCACTACAGAATCAATACTGGAAGATTCGAAGGAGACAGCATCTTCTGGGTATGGGTACCAGTCTCATATATAACGCAAGTTTCCGTCACCATGGAATGGACAGTACCATATCTAGCAGGTTTTCCATCATCTCATCTTTGGAAAGTTCCAGTCAGACGCTAATTTATCCTTTGATAAGGTCTGGATCGCTTATGAGTGGGTAATCAATCACATCAAGGAGTACCAGCGACTGCTACCAACTATTTGTATGATGGTTCTGCAACACAAACGTACGCATCCCAGCATGTCTAGACGTGTTCTCATAGACAGTTTTGCATCATCCTCTTACACTGAAGTGGAGTCATTGGAGATATCGTGTCGAAACCAACCGACGAGCATGCCAATGATTCAGAACATATGGATACACGATAGTATGCTTGCCGCGACATTGGTTTTGACTTCAGGCCTGTGTAACAGTGTCTGGTATCATTTTCATCTTGTTCAGATTCTGCATATCCCCTGGCGCTGAACTCGATGTGATCCAGTGCCGTGATTCGAATCCTGTCTTCTTGGCAATTTGTCTTGTCTTTCACTCGGCATTCCCATCATCTTCCAAACCCATGAAATTACTGCCTGTCCTTCTCATGTGAATGCTGCTGGGGCTCTCTATAGCGTCGGGTGATGCAGCCCGGCGGTTGGACCTTGGGAAATTCGATTGATACAATGATTTATGTGTGTGCCATTTTGTTAGAGCTGTTCTAACCACCGTTAGCATCGATCAGGCTCCCAGTGATACACATCTGCCAGGTGGCGGTCATTCGCTGATGGAAGCTCACCTTATTAATCTCAACCTTAGCGCACTTTGTGCGAGTAATCAATGCGAATGGCGGATCTTGCTCAGTCTTTTCCTAGTTGTACTAAGCATAGTGTTCCAATATCTGTTCACACACCACTAGTAGGGAGGCAGCTCTACAGAATTCTTACTACTGCAAAATGCCTTTCAGGTTAAGGATCAAGAATCCTTTTAATGCACCATGTACTATGAGAATTCTACTTATATCCCATGTACCGGCCTTAAGTCTGAAAATCATCTGCAAAGTCTTTCTGTGGCTTTTTCTTCAGTTATTTTATCCATATGGGTTGTTGTTGCAGAGCGCTTTTGCTTGACCATTACCATGGTTAGTGCATAAGTTTGTTTGCCTCAGGAGTGGTGAGTCAGGCCTGGGAATCATGTCTTGGTGGTTACTATGGAGCATCATAAATTCTACTAGTGCGGATTGCCACAACAGCATAATGTAATGTCCAGAACAGGCATTCACCATGTGGACATTGCTATGGATTGCTACCATTGATGCCTTGTTTTGCATTGCCGCTACTTGATCTCCATGTACTTTGTTGCTTTGATTGCCATCTTCTATCCATCTTGTTCTTCTTTCACTCAGATTATCTTCCATGTCTAGTGAAATGCGACCTCTCCACCTTGCATGGATGCTAGTTGCGCCTTATATAACCTTAGTTTCTGCACAGGACCTCACGCCATTTACATCCTGGAAAGTGAATTACTCTTCTCTGGTTGACAAGGGCAAATGATAATACAGGAACTAGAACCCTAACATCGCATCGTCTAAGGATGACCGCATTAGCATTGCGAGTGCGGCTCTTGAAAAGGCAGTTAGCATGCTCCAGCCTAATGGGAAATTCGGCGGTGCATTCATTCACTCCATATCCAGCATTGAGCCTTTTATTTAAGTATCCTCAGATTCCACACATGCAACTTCCAGCAGGCTTTACGCACAAATGGCTGAATTTGATAGATTGACGAACCAAACCAAGTACAAGGAAACATTAAAACAGGGTTTTGCACTGGCAAAGTTGGATAATTCTGAATTTTTGAACAAGATATCAGTATGTTCTAAGTATACTAAGCTATGGATCGCTGCTGACCGACACTTGATTTAGCGTTAGTTCTGTTTCCTACAAACACTTTTCGAATCACTGACAACACCACTATGGATATGGATGATAGCTAAACTATGGGCTGTGAATTATTTTATCTGATGATACTCTTCTGTTCTTCATCTTCCATAGGCATTATGGATATGCTGCAGCTCGGGCTTACATCACTTATCAAGACCCAGACTTCCTCGATTTTTCTGTGACTTTGTGGACTTCTGCAAGGTGTTATATGATATCTAAGGAACAAGCTGTGTCAGGAAACACAGATGTTAAGCAATTCAATCTCAGTACCTCATGTCCAGGTGGTGAGTGTTATCAATGGCTACAGCTGATATGTTTACTGATCCCAGTTGACAGCAACGTCTTTAGCGGGTGGCACCTATTGGGTGAGTCATGATCTACATCAATGTTTAATTGATCCATTAAGGAACTAGAGCATTGATTCCAATGAGCCAAAACTCGCTGGTCTAGCTGCTGGGTTCAGTTTCTTTTCCTTACCTTCGCTTCATAATTAACGCTATGAAATCAGCTCCTTTCTTGTGTAAGATTCATCACCTTCCTGGATTCATGCTTGCCTGATTGCCATAAAGCATGTCAGCTCTGTTGGCGGAAGCAACATCCAATCAGACATATCTCGATGCTGTCATCGAGTCAGCTAATTTTGTGCAGTTGCATCTTCTCAATCCGTCTAATATCGTAGTCGATTCTATATCATTGAAATCAAATAATTCTTGCTCCATAGACCCGACACTGGTCTCATGCAATTCTGGAATCTTCATTGAAGGACTGGTTGTCCTAGCGGATATTACTCATAATACTTCAACTGAATCCTTGTATGTGCCAATAGATTCTGAGTGTCCACATACTGAATCATGTCTTGTGCTAGGTTGCGCAGCACTATCGCTACAATCGCTAGATGGCAAGGAGAGGGTGGAGTCATAACCAGTATGTGTTTTGTCTGCAACTTCATCTCTGGATCTTATCGTTGTTATCTAATGATGAAGCTATGACCACTGGAGGGCATTACATTGTACGGGCCCTGGCAGCGTTATATGAGTGCAACACAACAGCCTCAGATCTTCGAATATATATTAGGGAATACATTGGTGTGCAGGTATGCCCATCATAAATTCTAATCCTGTGAACTGTGGTTTAGATAGCTTATTTTAATTTGGCACAGTATAATGCTGTAATTAATCAGGCTACTTCAGGCAGTAGTAACATCTACAGAATACTCTGGACAGGACCGCCGAGCACATCGTTCTCCAGTGATAACTAAACTGTTGCAATAAGCTAATTGCTCAGTGCAATACAGCTTGCAGATGACCAGGCATCCTCGACATCGAGTGATGTTCCCACTTTGAGTGCTACTGCTAGCCCAAGTACAAGCACATACCCGCTGCCAACAAAGAAGAGCCTGGCTGGAGCAATAGCCGGCGGCATCGTTGGTGGACTTGCAGTTCATGCAGCAGTAACTGTGAGTATTTTACTCTTGCATAGATGGCGTCGTCGAAGCAACAAGAGCCATTCCATTGTGGACAACTCTTTGCCATGAATGCTCACACCATTCACAGCTACATCTATTCCAGTTTCCTCTGGGATATCACCGGAGTCTCATATGAACCAGAAGAAGGATGCTAGATATACCAGGGGTGCGAGCAGAGCAGAGTCCTCTTCATCGTCAGGACCAGTAGAGAGAGACCTGATGCAGAGAAGGATGGTCATACAGACCTAGTTGATGACTCCAGCTCATCCGCCAAATCCACTGCACATGGAGAGTAGGGATAATCTGCCCACAGAGGAGCTGGTGAGGTTGCTCAATGAACGATTGTAGCCAGGTAGATGGAATGTCTCCGACGATGAGCTACCGCCAGAGTATCACAAAGGACGGACTACATAGGAATGGTTGTGTGTCAACATAGGCTCGATACCGGATATACCACAAATACCCTCTATTGTAATGTAGTTTCTCTCATGGGGAAGCCCCTATACATTTTCCCGGAGGCTTCATGATGATGGTTTTAACATGGCATAAGCATTGTATTATTTCATCATTTGCTCAGGAGCGCATTATCGACTATGGAATAATTCAGCACGAGCCAAAAGCCAGGAATGACAAGTAGCCTACCTTCTCGGTGAACTTATCCAGTGTTAAGAGCATAAAGTATGCAAAGGCAGACAGTTGTACATGGGCTACACAGTACGTTAGCACCTTCTAGATCTATGAAAAGAGAAAAACAAACCCAGAAATGGCTCTGGAGGATTTTCCAGCACACCTATTCTTGCTAACACATTATCCGTCAGCTCTACAGCATCTCTAAATCCTTCAGAGCCCATCCAGCATGTGTCACGCCGAATATACCATGCCCATGTTAGGATTGCATGAGAAGGAGAGAAGCTGTTGCCAATGACATGCCATTCCAAACTCTTTGGCAATTCTTTAACTTTGCATGAGCGTAAGAGTCGGCAAAGGAAGACTCATGGGAGATCGCAATCTTGACAATGCATGAATTGTTGATGTGAATGAGGTGCTCTATAGGTGCTAGAGCAATGCCTCATCCTGCAAGTACTTCGGGGAGAGGTGGTGGTATGAGTCAAAGGGTGGACTGCTGAGGTAATCTACTTCTAAACTCGGACTAAACTATCTGTAACTACTAAATCTGGCTAACTGAATATTACTATGAAGAAAACATAATCCGAGTTCAAAACAGGGTACACCCCATCATCGTGGTGCTGACTGTTCACTCTTTATTTGGGAATCCACGTGTTAGAGTGGAGGAGGAAGAATGCTATGGGAATCTAAGCTTCTTTGATGACACATATTATGCCTGAATCATTGTATCTGTCATGAAGATAGATGAAACTATACTTCAAAGTCATATTGGCTAAAGACTGTAAAGCATAGAAAGCCCTCACACCCCGACAAAAGTACCTCACATTTGAACTATGCAATTGTTTGCTCTTGGTGGAAAAGCTCTGGATTATTATGACGTTACCCCTATTTTCCTTATCTTATACTATCCTTATCTCTCGGAACCCCAGACCTGCCTATCTTATCTCCCAGACCCATGATATTCCGCCAGCACACTCCTTACCTGTTTACCCAGTTGCCGTCACCCCAGTTCACAGCTGCCACCCCCAGATGACCAATGACCTGCATGCACCATCATGCTTCTCTTGATGGCATCATGCTTCTTAGTAGTTGGACGAGAGTCGACCGCCAGTCGAGGGCCGTCTACAGGATGCAGCCTATTCAGACGGAGTCCCATGCAGATGCAGGTGATATGCACTCTTTACTCTCATTTGTCGGGAGTACACTTCTTTTAGTGTCCTCACTCCTCATTCGTTGAAAGACGCACTTCTTGTTGCATGCGCCTTTGTAGATACTATTCTTAGTATGAGTCTAACATGTATTTAAGCTAGCCTACACTGTGGCCTTAGACCCCAGCTTCGGCTAAGGTTATATATTCCTAACTCTTACAAGCTCCTTGCTTTCGCTATAAAGTGACACCTAACTTCTCGCAATCTACCAACGCCTCTCTAACACTGAATCACCAAACACAAGTGACAGGATAGAGACCAGCCTTGGTTCAGATTAGAGTTAGTGCTTAACATTTAGCCAAAGCTCGCCCTTACTACCCTTACCGTTGTCAATGATAACTGTACCGCTTCAAGGCAGTCACTGCTATACTTCCAAAGAAAGAAACCTTCAGCCCATTATTTAAAACAGCACCCATCATACCTCGAGATCATAGACATTCATTGTGGTACAACGAACTCTATGCCCCTCACCCCCTCAGACCGCACCGCCATTATCTTCGGAAGTACCTTCAGTACCTTGATACTACTAACTGTGGTTGCAGTTATCCATTTTACCTGACCAACTCGATGCCAAAGAGCACCGACCCCTGGAAGAGGGAGAGTACACGGACTCAATGGCTCATCAACCGGAACCTCATGAACAGGAAGTACCATCCGGCTCAGGTCAATCACACCATGGCCAAGGGGGGAGCGAAGCACACTTTGACACCCCTTACCTGACAGAGAAGACCGAGCCCCCATGCTCGAGCTTCAGAGCAAGGATCAGTGAGACAGTGAAGGTGAAGAATCCCTTCAGGAAGAAGAGCTCAGATGACTCAGCATCCCTCCCAACGATGATGACCGAGTTGACCCCAGATTTACAGCCAAGTACTGGACCGATACGAATGGATCCTGGGATGACCCAACCTGGGGCGACGACAATGACTCCAGGGAGCCATCGATCGCCTCCACAGAGTTATCAGCTGCCATCCCAGGGTTCAATGACAATGGGGAGCATCTCTACTGGAGGGAGACAAGTGGGTTCTACATCGATGTATTCAATCGAATCATCCATGGATGAACCAGGCGAAGAACCACCTTCGAAGAGGGCGAAAACCCGTTCCTCCCTGCCCAGGAACAAGGGGAAATACGGGGAGTATCCGACGCAGGAGGATATCGAAGAGATGAATCTCCCAAGCCGGAGTGGCATGATGCCCCAACCTCTCTCACCTCATACACCCCCGACGGAACCTACAGGGTTGAAGGACCCCCTTCCTGGTGGGACGACGAGTCCATTCATGAGTTGGACTTCGTTTGGCCCTCCCCCCAACCCGAATCCGAAATCCTCCCCTGAACGATTATCACCATCGCCGACCTCAGAGATTTCGCAGAGCCCTGCTTTGCCCACATCTCAGAGACTTCCACCAATGACGCCATCAGAGACGGACCTGACAACGTCATACTTGGATGACCCGAGGACATCGTATTCACCAAGTACTCCGACAGTAATAATGAGGAGCTCCCAGAGTACTACACCCACCCAGGATCCCCATTTAGCCAGGGACAGTGGGTCATCTTCCCAGGAGACATCCCTGAGGGAGACAGAATCCTTGATTGGTTTGCCGGAGACCAACCCTTTCTGGACCCTGTCATCCTCCCGAACTGCGTCCCGAGGGAGCTTGACCAGACCCCCCATCCGTACCCCTACTGCAACTGTTCCATCTGCTGACGTCTCAGGACCCTGGCCACCGATGAGTATGAAGGAGCAGAACCCCCCATCGAGCTCGAGCCCTTCCTTACCCCAGAGGGAGGGTTCCTACCCGATGGATACTACGGCTATCTCCCACTCCAAGGCCTATGGCCCTGGGTCTGGAGATGTGAAGATGCCCTGGAGATCTGGGATGAGTACTACAGATACTGCGGGGGTGTATGGGACTGGAACGATGACTGGGATGCAGGATATGGGATATTCTCCCGATACCAGATCATCTGTTTTCCACCCGACCACGACAACAAGTCGGACCCCTGGACCCGAGCCAGAATGGTCATCGACCAGCGACTCGAGGAGAATGACCCCAGCCACCCCCCCAGTAGAAGCCTCTCCTATGACCCACCCGAGTTCATCCAAGGCTCAAGCACAGGAGCTCATGGCCTGACAAATATATGATCTAACATGGCAGCAGATGTTAGAATGGACAAGCAGGTGACTACGGTACAATGTAAATTGGACCACGTCTGATCAAGGACAAGCATACCATGCTGCAGAATTAGGTTCCGTGCTGGAAGACAGGATACTTCGTACCGAGACCTGGTATCATGCTGCCATTGACTGGAACAAATTACACCCCGACTGTCCTGTAGCCCCAGGACGACGCTATGGTGAAGAGTCATTCCCAGACCTAGGAATCGTAGGGCCGGAAAACCCAATCCCCGACACGACCTGGGCACCATCCAACACCCTGGGGATAACCACTGCAGGAGGAGGAGGAATGTTCCATGCCTGAAGTATGGGCGGGGACCCCTCACAATTGGTGCCA